CTCTCTCTCTCTCTCTCTCTCTCTCTCTCTCTCTCTCTCTCTCTCTCACTCGCTCGCTCGCTCTCTCTTTGTGCGATGTGTACCGGTGGCATGGTACCGCGTCGCGCGGTGGTGCGGGGGCGTGAGACAATTAATCAACTGGCACAATCGCGCGCACCTACTCGCGCGACTCGGCCGAGCCCCGTGACTGATTCATTATGAGACCTTAATTAAGTCCCCGGACATTAGCATACCGACCACGCTGCAACCCCCTTCCCCCGCCCCACTGCGCTCCTCTTATCATCTACCCTCCGCTCTTCTGCATTCTTTTGATACGGTGTACGGTGTCTGATTTCCAGAAATTCGCGAGATTGGATCAGCTTGACCCTTGACAGAAATAAAAAATGATCTCAGTCGGCATAATTATTTAAGGAAAGTACTTACGGCAATTTGTACATTAAGTATTCTGGACTGAGTTAATGTATAATAATGTTAAGTAATAATGTAACTAGAAAAAAGTTTTATCAAATTAATCATTCCAATAGAATTATCTCTATGACCAATAAAAACTAAAATGTTTTAAATGAGTTTAATGTACTTGAGGATAGATCGTTTGCCAGCCAATTGCAAATTTGCATTTTACAAATGAAAAAAAAGTACGTTCATGATTGGGGAGGGAGAACGAAAGGTTTGAAAATGAGCGCAGGTGTATCCGTCTAGGATGGTTTTATCTTATCTCACGTGCCGGATGGCCCTGCCTTCCGACGCGAGAATTCTTTACTGGGCAGTTAGGCACCTCTGATAAAAACGTGTCGTTTCGCGGTTCCATACTAATGAAATTTTTCGGACACATTTTTATTTACTTCGTTAGAGTTGTTAAAAGTTAATTATTATTTCAAAATCTTTAAATTTTTCATTAAAAATCTGTATTAATTTGTAGCTCCAGTTACATCAGACGTTGCAATTGCCGGATCGAAAGTTTTTCGCGAAATAACGCGTTTTCAACCCCCGTCTTTCTCCCACGTTCCCGATAATAGGTCTTCGTCAATGAGATTAATCGGTGATCTTTTCGATTTTTCAGCACGCTGAGGTGGAGGATGGAGGAGCTGGAGACGCTGGAGAGCACGGAGTGCCCGGAGTGCCCCGGGCCGCCCCCTGAGTTCCGGTTGCCACCGCCCCCCCGGCCGCCTTTCCTCACCGAGGGCACTTTCTGCTCGGAGTCACCTCTTGCCGAGCTCGAAGACTGTGTTGCTATTCCGGTAAATGCTCTTTCGATCATTTCCCTTGATTCTTCTAAATTGTTAAGTATGAGAGAGAGAGAAAGAGAGAGTATGAGAGAGAGAGAGAGAGAGAGAGAGAGAGAGAGAGAGAGAGAGAGATTTAAATCAACGAGATGATTTTCGATTCAACCCCAACATTCCGCCACCCTTTTCCCCTGTGCATTTCTGTCTCGTAGTCTCATCTCCCGCTATTGTTGCCCCCCGTGGTTTATGCTAATGCCGTGCCACTGAATTTAACGTCTCGCGTGTACGCTCGTTTGCGTTTCGTGCGTCAGACGCGGATACGCCTACGTGCGTATGAACTCCGCGGAGGTCGTTTACAATTGAACCACCGGGGGTGAATATCTAAATCAATAATACGCCATGGACATTATAATTGTAGCGGGACATCGTTAAACATTATTGTTTTATCAGTATCGTTGTTAAATGTACTAACCATATAATTACCGTTATTTCGTTATTAAAAGAGAATACATGCGCACCAAGTAGAATATGAATTTACAATTTTATACTTCTGCTTTTTTTTCTGTGCCTGTCTTTTAACGTCTTATCGTTATCGTACATTTTTTGTCTTATGTGCCGTCGTTTATTTTTCATACATAAAAATATGTTTTATACATAAAAAAATCTTTAAAAAGAAAGGAGAAGAAAAAAGGGAGAGGGAAAGCACAGTTATATTATACCACGCTCACCCTCTTTCTAAAGCAAGATAATCAGTTTTTTACGTTTACAATTTGCCATTTTGCTAACAAGCATTTCGAGTAGCGAAACAAAGATATAATCTATAAAGAACATCACATTTCCTTTTATCTTTATCCCTTTATCTTTCTCTTTGCACCCTCCAAAGTATTCAATTGATAACGCGACGTGTATTATTCGTACGCGCACACACATACATGTATGCGTATACGGAAACATATACCTTCGATAATATAATGTATACATGTTTCCCTGCACTCGGGCCGCGAGATCGCATTACGCGATATCGATTGCATCCAGTCTGGACCGAAGGGAGCTTCCTTTTTCTGCTCTCCCATTCAACTCTACCGCCTATCTCTCCCCCGCTAGTTTTACTTTCTTCCCTGTGTCACCCCCCTTTTTGTGCAGTCGAGCTTCGTTAACGACCGCACGCTAATTAATCGGAGCGTCGCGTCGCCTGATCAAGATGCCGAACGATATACCTTCGCAGTATAGCGCGCGGATCAAAAGGGTGCAGGGGAACTCATCCGGTAACGCAAGCAAGGCATCCTTGGTCCACTAGCAAGATCAACCTTTAGATACCGCTGCATTCGTACGCTGTGTCCACCCCCGCGGCGATTGATTAGAGACAACGATTGTATGTACATTAAGCCTCTAGAGAGAACGTTGTCCGAAAATACAAGATTATCTCGAGTTTCTAACAAGCGTTCGCAATCTCTTGTCATTAATATCGTTTTTAATAAAATACTGTACAAAATAATCGTAATGTTATATAACTCAAAGTTGTATTTTAACTAATTTTTTTTTAAATTGGATATTTATTTCGGATGTTTCATCCGACGGATCGATGGGTCTCTCTGTTCCAGCGAGAATAAATAAAGATGATGTGAGGAATTCAAGATTAATTGGGCGTACATCACGTTTCACGCTGCAGAAACATTTTCACATTCGCGTACATTTGAGCTTACTATTATATTTGAGCGAATTACGCATCGGCGAACCGATACTCGCGCGCGACGAACGAACCGTCGGAAACGTCCTTTTTTTCTCTTTTCTTTTTTTATATTCTCCGAGACGGGCAATTTCAACGGGAGCAGATGACGTCTATCCAATAATGCACACATCGCCTAGCTGGCCGGAGCGCGATAGGCGACCGACGGCGCCGAAGAACAGTAGCCGCTCACCGATCCATAAACAATCCCGCGATGTTATCGCTTCCCCGCTCTCATGCACGACAGCGAAGGGAATCCTCGAACGAGGATCGATCGATCCCCGCGCCAGTCCGCCGCTGCTGCATCACGCTTGTGTGCGTGTGCGCATTGAACAGACTCCGTTTAATTGATATATCGTTGCCCGATCGGAGAACGCTATCTCTCAACTTCATCTGATGGCGCACCGACAAAAATATACACGCGACACCGCTTACATTTCTCAAATGGTCGAAATGAGTTGCGGATAACAAGAAAGGTGAAAGTTTCTTAGCGTCAAACATCTCTGTTATCACTTGTCGCGATTGCAGAATATCACCGCTGTTAAATTTCTCTTGAAGAGAATATCCTGCCAAACTTATATTATTATAAGCACGTATATTATATACATTTCTCATATTATCTCATATAGTATCAAGTTGGTTGTTGGTTAACGTTAATTTACACGGTATCCCGTATGTAAATACTTAACGACCAGATTCGTCTCAAAATTATTCACAAGAAAAAAAGCTAATTGAATACTCTATATATATATATATATATATATAGGCTTCGAAAACGCGTCACGCATCCCTTACCCGTCACAGCTATCCGCTTCCGCAATCAGGGAACTTTCACCCTCCCTTACGACGCAGTTCCGTTCGATTACGATCGTTGTTACGTTCATTGCGCTACGCGCGCGCGGCTTTCCACAAGGAACCCATTAATTGGATCTGGCATCGGGTTACCCGAGCTTCGATTCGCCCCATGTTCCACCGCGTAAATCCGGAAGCTCGTATGTGCTGCCCATATCCGACTTCGGCTGTGTCGCTCTTTCCTCTTCACGAAACTGCGTCCACAGCATGACCGCAAAAAAATAAGACAGTAAATCCTCGAAAATTCGAAGCTTTTAAAACCGATCTCATCACTATTTGTAAAATCTATTTTAGGCAACGAGTAGAATAGTAGATCAATTTACGTCGCCAAAAATTCACTTTTACCCTAAGAAATCGCAAGATTAATTTAATATTCACAATGACATGCAATGAAAAGTGCACACATTCCGCACAAGTGCACAAGTTAATTTATAACGTGATGAATTATTTGATAATTGCTTTGTTTAATCTCGTGAGCGCGATTGTAATCGCGTGTTTTACCAAAAACGTATCCAGATTATTATTCATCCCCGTGTACATTTTACCGCGGGCGGCAGGGAGCATCGCATCGTGGCGAACCGCATGCAGCTGCAAATACAACCACATTGTGCGTCAATGACACGGTGCATCGTGCTATTCGCTTTCTCTTCGCAACGGTAGAGTGATATTCGGTGACTTTTCCACTCTTTTCCGTTACCTCTCACGTAGGAATCCCTCCGCTCTCAATTTTCAAGAATTCGAGCTCGAATTTTGTTTCTCTTCCTCGGTTTTCCCCGAGTTTATCGTCTTTCTGGTGAGAATGACATAATACATCACGGCATGCTATCGGTATTTATTTTCCAAATTCTACCGCGCCAGGAAAATGGCGAACGGAAAGATGAAGAGAGGCGATCACTTAGAGGAAGGGGGATTCTCTTACTGACGCTGGTCTCTCAACTGAATCCATTAGCCAGCGCCATTAATATCCTGGTAATGATGAGCGATGAGCCACCGCGCGGAGGATGAAGCGGATCAGAAGAGAACGAGTTACTTTCAGATGATGTTAAGGGGGAAAGAGAAAGAGGGAGAAAGAGCAAGCGAAAAAAGGGAGAGATGAGAATAGACAGACAGATAGGCAGATCGATAGACAGGTAGATACATTACATTACGAGGAGTATGTGGAACGAAAGGAAATACACAATCTTTTTGTACAGATATAGAAATCACATAGAAAAATAATTAAATAAAATCAGTAATTAATAATTTATTAGTAGAAGAATAGTTATAATGAATAATCGTACTGTAAAACTAAAATAGTCCCAACAATTTTCTTTATCGAGATTATTAAGGTGTTGTAAGATCAGGCGACGTATAAGGACAGGCAAGCGGTATATGTATTACGCTCAGCAACGAGCAACATAATAAGACGATAAAATTTTTAATGCGATCGTAAAGTACGTTGCATAAGCGGATAAATTTCAACCATTTCAAATTTTAATTAAAATCTAAATTCGCAAAAAAAAAAGAAAGAGACAAAGAGAAAAAAGCATGGTGAAGGCAAAGGGGTACTAACACGTTTGCATTTCCACAATCACTACCGTGTAGGTGGCACGTATATTATATACGTGCTTACAGAAGCTGATAAATGCTGCTTTGCTTGGCCCACAGCCAAATAGCACGCCGCACAATGTATCTCATCGCTCGTGTATTCCTCATCGTACCTTTCACGAGGCGAGATACGCTCGTGTCGCGGTATATTAAACCTTTACGTACGGTAAATATATCGGTTAGCGACGATTAAACGCTGCGCCGGCCACTCGGCCGACCATTACGGCGCTTTAGTTATTTAATATTGCGCGAGTTGCCGGAGATAATCCGAGGTTTTTTTTTTTTATTATTTAGAGAAGGTGTATCAAAGGCATCAATGTTCGTAAGGGTAAATCTTGGGAGTCTTCTGTAATCCATTAAATATCCTGAAGGAACAAAAATTTTTTTTGTCAATTTTCAATTAACTGATGATGCGACTTTTTGTATTATGAATTATTTGCACCAACTTAGTGGAAGGGTCAAACTTAGCTATGACTTCCATTTTCAGCCATGGGAAATAATTAAGCACTCTTTCATCACGATCATTACTCAAGCTCGTTCATTCATCATTCAACCTCGCATTGAATATGTTTATCTTGACAAACTCTAATGTTACGAATGAATTTTATGGAGCTCGCGGAACTTTCAGTCGAGCAAAGAAAATGTTTTCAAGAACGAGACCCTTCCTCGAGATAAGGGAAGTCCCGGTCCACGTGACCTTTGATAAATATCGCCTTCTTTGATGATGCTCCAAATAACGCGCGTAACGTGATATCACATTCCGCACCGTGCATTGTGCCACGTCCCTCTTTAGCGTGAGACTTATCGATACATGTTTAATCAAACCTCCGACCAACCAAGAACCATGCCTCTTTCAGAGTGTCGCCAGGTAAATGAGAATTTCGCTCTTACAATACTTCTCCAGTCGATACGTCGAGGGGCCGAGAATGGAAACGGCGGCGGATCCGATCTGGCTGATCGGAACTACCTTTCAGCCTAGAGAATCCCATCTTTTTTCCGTGAAAATCACTTTCCCTTTTTCGCAAGCGGTCCACGTAATGCGCCGAGGAAAGCAGGCTTCCCCTCAACGCGCTCCCTTTCCTTTGCTTGCCTTCATACCCAGCACGTGTGCTCGGGCACTTTCCGGCACACCTACGTGCCTCTTATGAAGAATCCAGTCACAATGGCGGAGGGGCTGGAGAATCCGATACGAATTTCCGGCATTCCGTTGCGCCGCCGTCGCCGATATCGAAATCGAATATACACCCAGTTCGAGAAACGAGGAATTTCGGCCGCGAAATTCTCCACCTCTTGCGCCTCCCTTACCTTCCAGACTTCCCCGCGCGGAGACGTAAATGAGGGTCGCGGTGGTATTTCACGTGGTTATCGATATGAAAGATTCACGATTGATCCTCCTTTCGGATCGGCCTTTCGCAATCTCCCCCCTTCTTCGTCGTAACTACTACCTCGAACGAGATTATCCGCGAAGGGAACGGTATCACATCCGGAAGTCTTCTTATGAGATATCGAGAGGAATGAATTTTTAAATCATTAATCCTTTATAAAACTCCGGGAAATTAATTCTTGAATTTTTTATGAGGACTTAATTAAACCGCTTTAATCCGTAAGTGCGCAGCTTTGCATATGACGTATGCAAAGCGACTTTTCGATGTTCCGTGTACTTTTCTCTTATGAAGTTTAAACTGAAAACGCGCAACTTTGCACTGTAAGGCCTATTTGTAAAGAGTCTTCTGTTCCCCTTTCTTTCCCATTTGTAAAGGTATTTCCCATTTGTCAAATTAGTAAAGAATTTTTTAAATATTTTTTAGGGTTTCTTAAGCAGTTATTATTTATTTAAAAAATACTCAGAATGCTATGAAAAATTGCGCATTTGAAGATTAAGTTTCTATTGAACTATCAAGTTTATTCGTTATGCATACTGTAAAATAATTCACATTAATTATAAATTATCTTGAGAAATTGTTTTAAGGAAACTGATTTTGTAACCACATTTTGTGAGACTATTTTTGTAACCTCTATAGACCGTAGCTACAAAAATATTTTCTGGTAGAAGCATTAATTCATTTTTGTTATAAATATGGCATGTATGTATGTGGTTTAATGCTTGGCTTAATTATGGCTGAGCGGTCAGCTTTAAATATTAAATGCCACAAATAAAAGGACAGTGATAAATAATACTATATGTATACAAGAAAAACGGAGGTGTGTGTAAGTAGCAACTTGTCTATGCATAAACGATGGCTGTGTAACGTGCGAGTTTTCCTTTATGTTCAGGGTAAAAGCACGTCTTTACGACGACGGCGAGCACAAAGCTGCGCGCTGTCTCGATTAAATCTGTCGGAATGAACGAATAAAGTTGTTTCCACGGCGATTAATTTGCCTCTTCCGGTGTTATCGCGCCCGCGACGGCCGCGTAATAACACGGTAGCGTCGCATAATACCATACCGCGCAACGTTGTTTTTGCAACTTTCTTTTGTGAGAAAATGAGGAAATTTATACCTGCGATCTCATTATCAATCACCGCCGACACGAACCGGTTCCCGGTCGCCTTGAAATCCGAAATCCGTTCGATAAACGCGCAATAGACGATCAGTTCGCAAATTAATGTAGCGAATTACCGGCGTAAAATAATGTCGAGTTGAATTTTAAGAAAATTCAGCATGGAACTATTCTCACGACTATTCTATGATTCTGTTGAATAAAGTTGATATTCGGAGTATCGATTTATAATATCACGCGTATTTCAATATTATGCTATATTTTGATACGGAAATCAATGAATATCCACGCCATACATATTGCAAGATATACTTGCATAATAATAAGCAGGATCGTCTGTTTTCTACACAAATATGCTTATATCATAATATTTTGTTGCTTTCACAAAATAAACGTCCATAATCTAACGATAACTCTCTCTTTCCAGATGATCGACGCTTCCTATCATACGAACCCGTCGTTGCAAAGCACTGCCCTAATCATCACCTGCGCGGTGGTCCTCCTGCTGATGGCTGCGATCGTGTCTGTCGTTTTCTGGAAGTAAGTAAATCTTTCTCTTTCTCTCTTATCGTTTGCTCTTACCGGTCACACGATATGGCGACAAGTACGACGCGATACGGTAAAAATTTCTGCGAGGTTGTGCCGTCGATGGTCATTTCTCACAATGAAACGCCGATTTCGTTCGCGCCGGGACGTCGTCGTGCAGCCTCGTGTTTTCCAAGTCCGAGGTCGTTCAGCATGTAACCGTATTTCAAGGGATCGAGAGCAGAGGCCACCCTTGAATTCTTACGCGATCCGAAGAAATAAAAAGGGACGACCACATGGTGAGAGAATAAGAGCGAGGTCGTGCGGGATTTGGGAGAGAGCGTTACCGATTGCTCCAAAATTAACCAAAAATAGAACAACGAGCGAGAACGAGAAAACGGGCGTTTGAGCATCCGTCGGTTTGTTCCCGACAGCGCTCCAGTTATTCTGCCTCCTCGTACCGGGCGATGATCTATGGCGCGGTGAGCCGCACCGAGGGGTAGCTTTAGGTCTACTCGGGAAATGTTACTTCACGGATACCGTAGTCGATGGTCAAAATGTCAGCTATTGATATTCTAAGATTTAGTGAGGTCTCTGTTTCCTTAGAGAATGTATTTATTCTGCCGAAGATAATATGATATTTGAATATTATTATAACATATAATTTTACAAATTTTGTAATTTATTATTATTGAAAAGATTAGAGTAGCGCCCTAAATGTGAATAGAATAGATATACGTTAAGTACAAGAAAATGGATACTGAGAATAAATGCATCTCAAATCTTAAGGAACTTTAAAACAACTCACAAAATATTCACATAGTTACAGGACTTGTACTGTCATTTGACTTTTTATGATACGATTAAGCAACTTTTTCTGATGACTAACGAAGCGATCGAGAGGACGTAGATGAGAGTGTTGCTCTTGAGCGTATCCTAAATTACCCGAAAATGGAGCACCCGAAGACGCGGCGAGAAAGCCTGCCACTTTAATTAATACCTAACCGTGTTTCCGACAGCCTGTGGCTCTGGTTCCCATATCGTGCACCAAGATCTAGGTCGCGGTGAGATTAGATGATGACTTCGTAATTAACGAGGATGCCATCTTGCGCTCTCGCACAAAAAAAATGACCGCGCGCAATATCGTTACATATAACAATTAGCGGAGATGACGTTGCATAATAAGTAAAACGCCACGGTAATTTCTTCATTTGAAATTTTGCTTGGAATTTTTATCTGTGCGCTATCTTGAGATACAAGCAGCGAGGAAGGAAATAGGGCGACGTCGTCGCACTAATGGGCCCTAAATTAGCCAAAAACAAAGCCTTCCCTGGTTTCCCCACTACAGTCTGCCACCGACAACGCCGGTTCTTGCTCGCAGTACCGCGTGCTGATCTACAAGCAGCCGCAGTAGGTAATTTATTTAGAGCACAGCGGTAGCCGAGAACTTTTCGACCGTTCTCCGGAAATTTTCCGGAAAGAAATTCGCACCTATGTTCCGTTCCGTTCTTTCAGTTACGGGATTTGCCTTTTCGGTCGTCCTTTGAAAATTTTAGAAATTGGAGCGTATACTTTTCTTCTTTGCAATACATGACATTTTGAAAATATATGAGACACTTAAAAAATATATGAGACACTTTGATAATATATGAGACTAAACTAAAGAATTGTCTCACGAGCGTTTCGACCTTTACTACGGATTCTCAATGAGAGAACAGCATGCCTGATTGTCATTCCAGAGAGTCTTAAATTAAAGCAGAAATAGGCCATTCCTGAAATGGGCGTACGCCCAGGCGCTGTTACGTACCACCGACAGCGGAACAACGCGCCAGTAATTTGTGACACGGTGGCTCATGCTAGTCGGCACGGTTTCGTGAATTCGCGGGACACGGGAAAATACATTTACCGACGTCCGGGGTAGCTTACTTGGGAGATTTACGGACACAGCCGCGGGCGAAAGCTCCGTTGCGCCGTTGTCGCACGTTGATTGGCCGCGCGGTAAAAAATGGAGCGGCTCGATAAGACGAATAGGAGACACGTGGAAAAGTTGACAATTCGACGGGCGACGCTTTCGAACCTTTTCGTAGGTTTGAGAAACCGCGCGTTTTTTCATGATTGCGAGTTCTTCGTCGAGCCGGTTGATTGTCGTCCTTTTCAATTCCCTTCGCTTTCAATAAGAATCAGACCTCACCTCATTTTTCATTTAATCTTAAGCAGGATAAGATAAGAAAACATAGTGAGCAATTCTTGGTAGAGTAAAAAGGTTCTAAAAAGAAGATCAAGGAATTTGCGGAACGGAGATAACGTCAGCGATATGAAATTTCCTGTGCACGGACGAAGACACGGATGTCCGTCCAATCACATCGATTAATATTTGTCTTGCATGCTTCGCTTGTAATCTCAAATACATCTCCCGCCTAACTGGTTCGACCGTTTGCATGATCCGATCTCTGGATCATTCGACGGACTGACAACTCGCGATTAACTCTCCGCTAATGAGCTGCGAATCCACGCCTCTCGTAGCTCTATCTGATGATCGATCGGCGGGACAGCGGGCCAGAAACCGTCGGTCGAGAGGACAATTTTGGGTAGCACAGTGCCTCGTATTCACGATCGAACGTGGTTCTATGGCAGTGGCCCTCGAAGACACACTCGTCGCGACAACGGCGGCCCTGTTTTCGCGCGTTTTATCGTAATGCCGGGCCATTATCGACGACCACGCTGCTAGTATCTCAAGTGTTACCGGTTCCCCATATTTGCGCTTTGTGGGTGGCTATCGTACGACCACTCGTACGCCAGAGTGAATTAGGACCGACCGCAATAAAATTAGATATCTAACAGAGACGTGTCAAGATACCTCTCTCTGGTTGTAAGTTGCTCAGAAAATGACATTATAAAACGTGAATCTTTATGTTAAGATCTGGGTCATATTTATTTAATTCACTTACAAAAACCAGACACAAGTCTGATATTTCTTCTTTTTTTAAAAGAAGTATCTCCTAAGTCCTAAAATAATTAAAAAGAAACGTTTTCTTTGAACGAAGACTTCATAACAAGATTCGAAAGGCACGAAAAGTGTAAATAATTATATTCTCCCTTTTCTTGATGAATTTCTCAATTGTTAAGAATATAGAATTGAATCAAAAAATCAAGTTTGCATATAATTCCTGCGCAAGTTCCCGCTGCGAAAGATCTTTCGCTGGAGTTTCTCCGCCATTCGGGACAATCGTGACTCTGTTTTCGCGTTTATCGTAATGGCTGTGGTCCATTATCGAGCGTGACGTCTCGAGTGTTGCGGCGTCTCGCGGCTCGTTACTTTGTGGGTGGCATCGGCCTCCTTTTCTCGGCATTTCTCCGCACCGTTTCGCACGCTCTCGCGGTTCCTCTCCGTTCTCGTGGTCGTCTGTTCTCCATATTATTGCGATGTTCTCCTGGTGCTTGTTCCTAGCGCGAAACGCAGAACCGTAACCACTATACCTGAATGAAAGCGATCTAAAGAAGTTTAAAATTAAGCGAGATCTATAAATTTAAGATGACAGTTTCTTTCATGAGATTTTTATTTAAAATTGAATATGTGAGTACGAGAAAAATGTTACATAAAGATATTAATTATAAACGTGGATCTCGTATTAAGTCTTTTTATCTTTATATATCTTGTTTGATGTACAAAAGTGCGAAACTATATTTAATTTATCATTAATCGATGGATTAACGTCATATTCCTTGAGCAACTTACTTTGAGACATTGTTATGCAACAGAAAATTTTATTGCGATATTTTGTTATTTATATATGATAATATTTGGTTTGTGAGAAGGCGGCAAATCTAGTTGCTCGCCACGAGAGCCAGCGACTTTAGCTACGGCACTGCGCACACAATCAAAACGTGGAGAACCGACACGGCCGCGCGTAGTTTGTATGCTAATCAGAGTCGTGTTCCCTTCCCATCCGTACATCCTCGCCGCTATCTTCGTCCACCATTGTGGGCTCTAACTATCGTCAATTCTATTTTCTATCTCGTCTTAGCTTCGCGCATTTACACTCTTGTTCAGCGCCGCGTTTAGCACCGAATGCGGCTATTCGATCCAGAGTTTTATTTAAGGTGATTGGGCCATCAAAGCATGTCAAAGAAAAAAATCCGAATTAAATATATGTTATAAAAAAAACCTAAATACGCTTAAATTTGCAATTTTGAGAAGATCTGACGTCTAGTTTTTGAGATATTAAATCTCAAAGTTGGCATTTTTAACATAGGTTTTATGGGAAATTGTACCGGAAACATACATTTTTTGAGAAGTTCACTCACTGTCTGTAAAGAAACAAGTTCAAAAAACTGAAAATAACATTATTTGATTCTTCTAGCACTTGTTAAGTATAAGACAAAACGACGTTGACGTGTAATAAGGCCAAAAATTCAATCAAAAGTTGATGAATCGTCGCGTTTCTTGTCGGCCTTTCGATCAGCTGTACGCGACGTGGACATGTGGCAACGCCGCGCCGTGTAGTGTTTTCTTTCCACAGCACTATTCTTTTGCAAGCAAATCTCCCGTTATCGAAATTGTTTGTTACCTTCCATTATTTTTCAACATAAACACAATACATAACCTCACTCAAACACATGGCACTGGCATGATAGCTGCCTACAGCGAAGAGATGCAATGTCGCGACATTTCTCTTGTACGAATGTCAATTGAAGTCAAATCTTGAACTGTTTACATTTATCAGTAGATAAATTGATACGTAATCGAATGAAAAGTTACATTATAAAATCAGTAATTATACAAGTGTCTAGAATATATCCATAAAAATGGTTTTTCTTAAAATAAATTTTAAGCCTTATATTGACTCATATGGTACATGGCCCAATCACCTTAAAGATACCGAGATCGCGCGCGCGCGCGTTCGACGTAATCGAGAAACGAAAAGCGAATAGCCCCACATTTAAGTACCACCGGGAGTATGCGAATGCAATTCTCAACCTTAAGCATTTAAGTCGTGAGTTTGACGTTAAAATTT